GAAGACCCAAGATGTATGCCCTAATGTTACAGAAGAAGTTTGTACAACTGTTCAGGCCCACAGACGTCCTTGTTGTTAGGTAGCATTTCATCCTTCTGGGGTTTTGATGGAGATGGAGTTGAAGACTAGACAGTCATAGTTAAAGTTTTCCTTGGTTGTGCTAAAAGATAAATTGGGTCTCAAATTTTAGTGTCACAAAGATAAAGTAGATAATAAAATATTTTCTCTAATTTTGTGTAAAACAAATGAACAAGATGTTGTAACAGTAATTCTTACTTTTTTTTTACTTTCTTTTTAAAATTACTTTAATTTTAAATAGCTTGCTTCTAATGTCAATCCCAGTTCCCTCTCCCCCGCTCCTCCCAAAACCCCTTCACCACCCCCCCCAAGCCTCCCACCCTATCCCCACTTCCTTCCACATAGGGGATATCCAGAGTCTATCATTTCTCTCAGGGCAGGGGCCAGGCACTTCCCTAAGAGTCCAGGCTGAGAGAGCATCCCTCTTTGTGCTATGGACACACGAAGTCCATTTGTATGCCAGGGATAAACACTTATCTACTGCCCAGGGCCCCATAGGTTGCCCAGGCCTCCTCACTGACTCTCACACTCAGGAGGTCTGGATCAGTCCCACACTGGCCTCCCAAATGTCAGTCTGGGGTCCAAGAGCTCCCCCTTTTTTCAGATCAGCTGTTTCTGCTGGTTTTGCCAGACCATTCTTTGCCCATTTGCTTATCACTCCTCTCTCTCTGTCACTGGGTTCCGTGTCTTCAGTTCAGTGTTTATTTCCATCAGTCACTGGATGAAGGTTCTTGGATGGCATATAGTGTAGATGTCAAGTTCATTATCAGGAATGGCATTTAAGGTGGTCTCTCCACTATTGCTTAGCTTGCCAGTTGGTGTCATCCCTTTAGATCACTAGAGGTCTTACTGGTGCCAGATCTGTCTTCTAACCTATGACTCCCTCTTTTATGGTATTTCTCATCTTGTTCTCACCTTATTTTACCCCCACTCAACCTTCCTGTTCCCCGATGAACTACTCTGTCTTCCTCTTCTCCCCCTCTCTTCTTCCCAGCTCCCACTCTCCCGCACCTCTCCCAGTGTTCCAAATCTGTTCAGAACATCTTGCCTCATTCCTCTTCTCTAGGGTACTATGCATATCTCTCTTAGGTTCTTTCCTGTTTCCCAGACTCTCTGTCAGTGGAAGTGCAGACTGGCACTATCCTGAAGGGTTTTGTTGTATATAATTTTACTAGGTTAAAGATAAATCTTCCTTTATTGTTTAGGAATTCTACTCTGTAGTCTCTTGGCTCTGATTCTTCTATGAAGTGATTCAGCATAATTTTATGTTAGGGTGTGTGGACTGGATGCAAGCTACTTACTTAATGGTGTCAGGAGAGGGGACTGGAGTTAGGGAAGAGATACAGGCCTCTGGGCATAATCACTCCTAAACTCACTTTCTTTAACTAGATACTATCACTTCTTAGCACACTGGCTATAATAGATCACTATTTGATGAGCCCACTAATAGATTCATTTATTGATAAGATTAGAGCTCTCAAGTGCCCATCAATGCTCAGCATTGCCCAATTGGGGATCAGCTATCAACACTGAACCTCTAGGCATAATTCGGTTCTAAAAGCAAGGGTGATCTGAACTAGACTGTTGTGCTTGTCTTTAAAATCAATACATTGTAAATATAAAACATGAAGTGTCTTATTTCCCTAAGTAGCTCCATTTAATTCTCTTAAGTAGTAATTCTTCATTTTAAAGTTAAAGTGGATATATTTTCCTCTCTACATCATCAACAATGAACCTTTCCAGATTGCATCATTGTTTGTTTCACTTCAAGGGCAATGATTTGACTGTGAAATCTTTTAGTTTTATGGATGCTGATCAGAGATCTCTCATGGAAGGTATTACCCTCCCTGGGGAGTGGATGGGGGATAGGGTGGGAAGTTAGGAGGATTGGTGAAGGGAAGAGAGTAAGAGGGAGCTGGGATTGACATGTGAAGCAAGCTTGTTTTTAATTTAAATACACAATTTTAGAAAAGTAACAAAGGAATTTAACATTCACCACTAGCACAGGAAATCAGTCTCGTAAATTAATCTAACTCTGCAAAAACTAAGCATACAGGAATCACTTCCCAACATAATAAAGGTTGCATATGACAAAGCTGAACCAACACTGACTGAATATGGGAAGCAAAAGGCACCCCCTATAAAATAAGAACAGGGACAAGGTTGTCCATCTCTTCAGTGTTATTCAGTATAGAACTTAAAACAGAAATTATGAAAGAGAAAGAAACAAAAGGAAAATGAGTAAGAAATGAAGCTATCAGATCATTCCTCCTTTTGGATAATATAATCTTATGTATAAAATATGCAGAAAAACAGAGCCACAAAAAGCCAATTAGATCTGATAATGGCTGCCAGTAACAGTGTATAACAACAACAACAAAAACATATAGAAATCTATAGCTTTTGAAAACACAAAAAACAAAGTCCCTGAAAAATAAGTCAGGTAAGTAGTCTGTTTCACATTAGCTTCAACAATGTTGAAAAAAACACCTAACATTTCTAGGTAAAAACTTAAAATAGTTAAGACCCTAAAAATGAAAAATACAAATTACCACAATGTTACTTATCACTATCAGGGATATTTACAAGATGATAAATTTAAAAAAATATTAGGACTGTAAACTAGGCCTGTTTGACTCCAAGGTCAGTTTAAATAAAGTTTTATTTTATTTTTAAGTGTAAATGTGCATTTATGCATCTGTGCAAGTCTGTGTACATGGATACAGGTATCCACATAGTCCAGAACAGGGCATCAGACCATTCTTTACTGTTTGCTGATGGGGAAATTGCTACAGCCCCTAAATATGTTTTCTTTAACATTATTACATGTAAGTACATTTGCATTCATATTCTACATGCATCTATTTAATTTTTCGAGTAATCACATAATTATGAGACTCTTGGTATTCTCAAACATTGTTTCAATACTACCTAATGGAGTCTTTTCCTCTGGTTCTTGCTGGTTCTCATATTAATATTCTTTGCCTTTGGAAAAATTCCAGATCTGTGAATAGATAAAGTTCCTCTCCCATACAGCTACTAAGAGTTGACACTTTTACTTTTTCTATGTACATGACTTGAGTTTAAGTACACTATGTAATTCTAAAGGTTACAGCTTTCCCCAAAGGCCAACTCTCCTCTAAAAAAGCACAATAGGAAAACACTCCAGTGTGATCTGATGACTTCTGTGTCCATCCATCTTTCTCATCCCATTCCTCTGAGACACACAGACTCTCCTGATATACCTTCAAGGATCAAGTCTTCTGTACATGTGTGAGCTTAGGAAAAGCATCTGTAAGAAATTCCTTATCTTCACTCACCCATGGGGAAGTCTCTGGTGAGAAATGTGGCTACTTAGTGTTCTCAACAACCGCAAGACCATGTAACACTGACCTTTGTCCCCTCAATTACTATGTTGTCTTAGTTGCCAGCCATTCTATAAATCCACTGAAATTTTTAATATGGTTTATCCAGTTCTCATATGTAAGTCAGCTATGAACTCTGTCAGCGGATTTTCTTGTGAGCCCTGTCAGGCATTCCTGAGTCTCATTTCACATCATCACTTGAAGTAAAAGATCAGCAGTATCTCCTTCGGATGGTCCACATCTGTTCAAACGTGTGACTGAACAGATGTAAATGCAACTGTTCTCCATTTTTTCATTGATTTAAAACATTTGCAGTGAATATAACAAAAAAAATTATAGGGTCTCAATTAGCTGCTTTGCCACTTCATCCGGGGAAAAACCACATGCATGCACACACACACACACACACACACACACACACACACACACACACACGTACATGCACACCACATGCAAACACATGCCACATAAACATACCTAATCTCATGAACACACATCATCATATATACAAACACACACATACAAACACAGTATACATATTTTATTAAAGATAACTTAATGTATAATCAAAGTGAATTATTCTTACTAGAAGCAAAAATGGGTTTATACTTTTCTGAAATTTTATTATGTAATCTTAAAAAGATAATTTTTAGAGTGTTACTGTATTATTTGTAAAAAGAAAAAAAGGTAACATATCCAGACAGTTTTATTCTTATTTAAAACAAAAATCATAAATAGTAAGCATCCCTGAACCTGGGTTATTTAGGTTGGATTTTTCCCAAGAAGATTGAGGGTATCATGAAATGGATATATCCAGGGGTTCTAGAAAGTTCTTCTGAGGGACACTTAAAATTTCCATTAAAAAAAGGCTCTTTTAAGAGCACATTACCAGCCTTTAATCCCACCAGTTGGGAGACTGAGGCAGGTGGAACTCTGTGAGTTGGAGACCAGCCTGGTTTACTGAGAGAGTTCCAGGACAGGCTCCAAAACAATGCAGAGAAACCCTGTCTCAAAAAACCAACAACAACATAAAGCATGTTACCAGCCTTGTTCTCCCTTTTAGAATTTCTCAATAGGTTTCTGAATCACCACTTAGAAAAACATCAGGAAATACCATCATCTCTGCAGAAAGTAATTTTACTAATTTTACATTTATTATCATGGAAAAGATGACTTTGACTTATTTTCTAGTATGAGTAATATATCAAGGTAGAAAAGTTCAAATGGTTCATTTTATCTGAACCCCATTTTATGGGTTTAATGCTTAAATACTATTTCTCATAATATTATCAGCAAATCGAATGGAAGCACATAGCAAGTTTCTATCTCTCAAATGTTTCTAATATGATGAACACAAGGAAATATATTTTATATTGAAACTGAGCATATTCAAATGGGAAAATTAGCTTCCTGGAACAATAGTTGTTATTTCATGACTATTGCTCTAATATTTAATCTGTCTTACGGGTTTTTACACTCGTCGATTTTTGTTATGGTTTATATGTTGACAGTCTCACTACATTCAAGTCATTAGCCTACAACAGTCCATATAAGAAATAGTGATCTTGCCAAAGTCACAGCTGCTTCTGTATAGCTGCTGAGGAAAAAAAGAAGAGGCCTGGAGTTTCCTTGACAGGTTCTGATTTCTGAGACTGATCTACAGTTTGAAAAAGGACAATGTGTCTCACGCCTTGCTCATCCTACGCAAGCCTTTCTTCAGAATGTGACACTGCTAGCACATGTCCTAGATTTTCCAATGATATTGGGAGTTTTTCATTTGAAGGAAGTATGTTCTGACTTGAGGAATGTTGGAAAGAAGTTCACTCATATTAACATACGAAAATTAACTTTAAATGTATCGGTTGTGGGGGGGAGAGTTTTCTTCTCCAAAGTTTAATTCTTATAACTCTTTTTTTTTGTGAAAAAGTATTTTCAATAAAAGTGAAACAATAACAAAAACAACATAAAGAAATTTTCTTATTTGTTTATATAGTAAGAGAACATTTAGGAAGTGCCAACTTTAGGGTTTTTTTTAACTTTTTTTTATTTTATCATTTTTTATTTTAATTTTAAATAGCTTGTTTTACATATCAATCCCAGTTCCCTCTTCCTCCCCTCCTCCCGCACTCCCCTTCCCCCTCACCCTCCCACCCTATTGCCAAATCCTTCCACATAGGGGATATCTAGAGTCTGTCATTTTACTCTGGGTAGGGTCCAGGCACTCCCCTAAGAGTCCAGGCTGAGAGAGCATCCCTCTTTGTGCTATAGGCACACGAAGACTGTTTGTATACCAGGGATAGACACTGATCCACAGCTCAGGGCCCCATAGGTTGCCCAGGCCTTCTCGCTGACACTCACATTTTGGGGGTCCAGATCAGTCCCATGCTGGCCTCCCCACTGTCGGTCTGGGGTCCAAGAGCTCTCCCCTGTTCAGATCAGCTGTCTCTGCTGGTTTTGCCAGCCCATTCTTTGCCAATTTGCTTATCACTCCTCTCTCTCTGTCACTGGGTTCCTTGGGTTCAGTTCAGTGATTAATTGTGTGTTTGCCTCTGCTTCCATCAGTCACAGGATGAAGGCTCCCGGATGGTTATAGACATCAAGTTCATTATCAGGAATGGGCATTCGAGGTGGTCTCTCCACTATTGCTTAGCTTGCCAATTGATGTTATCCCTTTAGATCACTCGAGGTCACTCTGGTGCCTGATCTGTATTCGATCCTATGATTTCCTCTTCCCCCTATTCTACCCCCACCCCCTCAACTTCCTGTTCCCCCATGACCAACTCTCTTCCTCTTCACCCCCTCTCTTCTTCCTAGGTCCCACTCCCCCCCCACCCCTCGCCGTGTCTTATAACTCTTTTAATATTTTATCTTAACATGTTCACAAATGTATAATAGAATTCACTTATTTGCTAAATAACTATAAAATTCTTTCTTTCTCATCTCTTGACATGCAATATTATATTTACAAAATAAGCTACTTTCATCTGATTATTTGAAAAAAGTGAATAGTTTATCTCAAGTTTGGTTTACCTACATCTCAAAATTTTGCTAAAATGAAAGTTAAACAGAAGGGAAAGATTCAAATAAAAACATCTGAAGAATGAAAGTTTTTGAAGAAAGTTTTATAATTTGCCAAGGTTCAGTAAATTGGCACTTTTTTTCTTAACCTAGACCCATAATAGAATACAGTCTAAAGTGTAAAGAGAAAATCTTCAAAATAAATTAAACAGCACTTAGTACTGCCACCTCAGCCTTTTTAAGTTCCTCTCTCATTTATTTTTATTTGCTTATGTAACCTGAATGTGTAAGCTAGATAGAACAGAAGAGATCATGCTTCACCTTGTTTATTTAATATGCCAAATTTAGGGAAAGGTGATTTATAATATGAGAGATAACCAGACAATGTTAAACCAGAAAGCAAATAAACATGCATTCCTGGGGAAGGAAAAGAAAACTAAAATCATATATATTTATTATTTAGGTCACTTTTCATGCACAGTATAGCCCTTTCTTATATGGGAACATTTTGTTCATCTCAGTTGCTCTAAGGATTGTGGGACATAAGTGACTTTTTTAAAGACAGCAACTATATCACTTTTCTTTTCAGCTCAGATGATTGAGTTTCCAACCATACAGATAGTGTTTGACCTATTTTATTAGATCCTCTTGAATACAGCTCTCAGAATATACATGGTGCTATACAGAAGATAAATTTTTATAGAACAAATTAAGTCAGCTTATTTGAAATAGACCTCAAGGAGAGAGCTGACTGGCAGAGATTATTTTGGTCATGTATGTCTCCTACCAAAGTACAAGAACAATTCGAGAAAACAAAATTAAGTATATGTATTTCATAATAAACAAGGAACTAACAACTGGGTTTTTTCATTCATTTTTTTTCGTGAGACTATTTTTGAATTTTGACCATATTTACTTCCAGTCAAGTCTGCCCCAATTCACTCTTTTTCCCTACCCTCTCAACTTTGTATCCTCTTTTTATTTTCACTCTCAAATCCAACTTATGCTGCCTCTGTGCTCATAGAAATGTGGCCTTTCACTTGAACATGGTAGGCATGTGAGGGACATCACTTTTAAAGAAAATCGACTTTCTGTCTCCTACTAGTAGCTGTCAATAGAACCACTACTTGGGGTAGACTTCATATCTAACTCATTTCTGCTAGAGGTAGACTTCATGTCTAACTCATTTCTCCATGGTGGTATTCAATCTTTTTTTTTATGAGACAGGGTTTCTCTGTATTGTTTTGGAGGCTGTCGGTCCAGCCCAGCCTCGAACTCACAAAGATCCGCCTGCCTCTGCCTCCCGAGTGCTGGGATTAAAGGCGTGTGCCACCACTGCCCGGCGTGGTATTCAATCTGACTTGAGATTGCACATGCTATCATTACCATTAAAAGCTCATGTGTGAACTGCTCTGTTGTGTCCTAAAGATACTTGTATCCTTGTATTTTGACTCTCACAGTCTTTCTTCTAACACATATTTCACAATAACCCCTAAGGCTTGTGTTCTACATGTTCTTATACTCTATATCTTTGAAAGCTGTGGATTTCCATGTTAATTAAGATCCACTGCAAATTGAAGTTTCTTAATAAAGATCGAGGGGTACATTATTCTATGGTTATAATAAAAAGACATTGGGTGTCAGTTTAACATACTCTAATAGTAGTATATTTAATCCCAAGACCCTATGATTTGTGTAGTCACAGGTTCTTAGCCTGAAAACTAAGTGTGGTATGGTATCTTGTACAACAGGACTTAAACACAATCAGAAAGTTATGGGTTTCTCTAATGAGATTCATGCCACTATTACACCAGTACACAAGTCTTAACATGTCATTATTTCTTCTTTGCTAATAATTATAGAGAATGATATTGGGTTATATAAAATGCATGCAAATGCTTAGAAATGCCCATCCTTTACAACTATATACCCAACAAATACAACACTTACAAATTCATTCACTACAGAAATTCTGTAAGATTTGGAAAATTTCCAAGTGTTATGTTTATAGATCATTTAAATAATAACATTTTTGAGGTGTTATATTTTTATTAAATAAATATATCCACAAATACTGAGATGGTAGCAAACTTTCAGTATTAAAATTATATCATCTTATTGGCTTCATAAACTTCCAACAGGGTGTTAAATTCACTCCCTCTCCTGGCAGGCAACTGAGGTCAATTAAGAGATCTATGCTTTTTTTTTTAAACAAAGAGCTTTTATGATGTGGTAAACAGTGGTGTAGGAGCACCATGGGAAGTGCTTGAGGCTTAAGGTAACACAGCATACCATAGACCTAGTAACTGTCTTATTTTCCTCTCAGAGCCCCATAACTTGGCTGAATTATAGAAAAGAAGATTCTGCGAGGAAAAACAAGGAGGACTTATGCCCTATTTCTTTCTTACTCTTTTTTTCTAAACATCTAGGTAACATTGGACAATTTACCAAACCCTTCGAGGCTTTACTGTGTGTTGCACACTTGTGTTAGTGCATACGTGTATGCATGAGTGTGTTCCACATTGGGCAGATAGAGATCAGAGGACGATTTGTTTGAGTTGGTTCTCTGTTTTCACCATCAGGTTCCAGGATTCAGGTTGTCAGGCTTGGTGACTGCTGCCTTTACCCACTGAACCTCTCACTGGCTCCCTCTTCTTCTTCTTCTTCTTCTTCTTCTTCTTCTTCTTCTTCTTCTTCTTCTTCTTCTTCTTCTTCTTCTTCTTCTTCTTCTTCTTCTTCTTGCTTTTGTTCTTCTTGTTCTTGTTCTTGTTCTTCTTGTTCTTGTTCTTCTTCTTCTTCTTCTTGTTCTTCTTGTTCTTGTTCTTGTTCTTCTTGTTCTTCTTGTTCTTCTTCTTCTTCTTCTTGCTCCTTTTGGTTTATTATGAGACAGGGTTTCTCCATATTATTTTGGAGGCTGTCGGTCCAGCCTAGCTTCGAACTCACAGAGATCTGCCTGCCTCTGCCTCCCGAGTGCTGGGATTAAAGGTGTGCGCCACCACCGCCCAGCTTCTCTTCTTGTTCTTCTTCTTGTTTTTGTTCTTCTTGTTCTTGTGATTGTTCTACTTCTTCTTCTTTTTGTTCTTGTTCTTCTTCTTTTGAAACACTTTTTTATTATATATTTAAGTTTGAAATGAGCTTGCTACGCATATCAGTCGCAGCTCCCGCTTCCTCCACTCCACGCTTGCCCCCCCAGCCTCTCAGCCCCCCAATCCCCACTCCATTCCCCAGGGAGGGTGAGGCCCTCCATGGGGGATCTCTAGAGTATCTCATTTTGTTCCAGGGAGGGCCCAGGCCCTCCCGCAAGTGTCCAGATTTAGAGAGCATTCCTCATTGTGGGATGGGCACCCAAAGTCCATTTGTGCGCCAAGGATAAATACTGATCTACTACCCAAAGCCCCATATATTGCTTAGGTCTCCTCACTGACACCCACATTCAGAGGGTCTGGATCAGTCCCATGCTGGCCTCTTTTTCATGTCAGCTGTTTCTCTGGGTTTCACCAGCACAATCTTAACCCCTTTCCTCATCACTCCTCAGCAGAAGTGGAGAGACTACTTTAAATGCCCCTCCCTGATAATGATTTTGACGACTCTCTCATATACCATCCTAGAACCTCCATCCAATGACAGACAGAAGCAGAGGCAGACACCCACAGCTAAACACT